CCACAACCACTCCTGACACCCACCACACCCACAACCACTCCTGACACCCACCACACCACACACCCACCCACAACCACCTGACACCCACCACACCCACAACCACTCCTGACACCCACCACACCCACAACCACTCCTGACACCACCACCCCACAACCACTCCTGACACCCACCACACCCACAACCACTCCTGACACCCACCACACCCACAACCACTCCTGACACCCCACCACACCCACAACCACTCCTGACACCCACCACACCCACAACCACTCCTGACACCCACCACACCCACAACCAGTCCTGACACCCACCACACCCACAACCACTCCTGACACCCACCACACCCACAACCACTCCTGACACCCACCACACCCACAACCACTCCTGACACCCGAGAGAGAGAGAGAGAGAGAAGAGAGAGAGGGGGGGAGGAGGAGAAGGGAGAGCGGACGAGAGAGAGGAACAGAGAGAGAGGGGAAGAGGAGGAGAGAGAGAGTAGAGAGAGAGAGGAAGAGAGAGAGGGGGGGAGGAGGAGGAGGAAGAGACGAGAGAAGAGGAAGAGAGAGAGAGGGGAAGAGGAGAGAGAGAGAGGAAGAGAGAGAGAGGAGAGAGAGAGAGGGGAGGAGAGGAACCAGAGAGAGAGAGGAAGAGAGAGAGAGGGGGGAGGAGGAGGAGAGAGAGTAGACGACAGGAGGAGGGAGAGAGAGGGGGAGGGGAACAGAGAGAGGGAGGAAAGAGGAAGAGAGGGGAGAAGAGGAAGAGAGAGGGGGGGGAGGAGGAGAGAGGGGGGGGGGAAGAGAGAGAGAGAGAGAGAGGGGGACGAGAAGAGGAAGAGAGAGGGGGGGAAGAGGAAGAGAGAGGGGGGGAAAGAGGAAGAGAGTGGGAGGAAGAGAGAGGGGGGAAGAGGAAGAGAGGGGGAGGAAGAGAGACGGGGAAGAGGAAGAGAGAGGGGGGAAGAGGAAGAGAGAGGGGGAGAAGAGGAAGAGAGAGGGGGGGGGGGAGGAGGAAGAGAGAGGGGGGGAAGAGGAAGAGAGAGGGGGGGAAGAGGAGGAGAGAGAGGGAGAAGAGGAAGAGAGAGGGGGGGGGGAGGAGAGAGAGAGAGGGGGGGGAGAGAGAGGAAGAGAGAGAGGGGGGGAAGAGGAAGAGAGAGGGGGGGAAGAGGAGAGAGAGAAGGGAGAAGAGGAAGAGAGAGGGGGGGAGAGAGAGAGGAAGAGAGAGGGGGGGAAGAGGAAGAGAGAGGGGGGGGGAAGGAGGAAGAGAGAGGGGGGGGGAGAGAGGAAGAGAGAGGGGGGGAGAGGAGAGGAAGAGAGAGGAGGGGGGGAGAGAGGAAGAGAGAGGGGGGGGGGAAGAGGAAGAGAGAGAGACGGAAGAGGAAGAGAGAGAGGGGGGGGGAGAGGAAGAGAGAGAGGGGGGAGAGAGGGGGAAGAGAGGGGGGGGGGAAGAGGAAGAGAGAGAGGGGGAGAGGAGGAGGAGGAGAGAGGGGAGAGAGAGAGGAAGAGAGAGGGGGGGGGGAGGAGGAAGAGAGAGGGGGACGAGAGAGAGGAAGAGAGAGGGGGGGAAGAGGAGAGGAGAGAGGAGGGGGAGAGAGAGGAGAGAGAGAGAGGGGAGGGGAGGAAGAGAGAGAGAGGGAGAAGAGGAAGAGAGAGGGGGGGGAGGAGGAGGAGAGAGGGACGAGAGAGAGGAAGAGAGAGAGGGGGGGAGGAGGAGGGAACCAGTAGGGGAGGAAGAGAGGAAGAGAGGGGGGGGGAGAGGAAGAGAGGGGGAGAGAGAGGAAGAGAGAGGGGGGGGGAGGAGGAGGAGGAGGAGAGGGGGGAGAGAGAGAGAGGGAAGAGAGAGGGGAGGGGAAGAGGAGAGAGAGGGGAGGTAGAGAGAGAGAGGAAGAGAGAGAGGGGGGGAGGAGGAGGGAGGAAGAGAGAGAGAGGAAGAGAGAGGAGAGGAGAGAGGGGGGAAGAGGAAGAGAGAGAGGAACGAGAGGAAGAGAGAGAGAGGGAAGAGAGGGGGGGGAGGAGGAGGAGGAACCAGTAGAGAGGAGAGAGGAAGAGAGAGGGGGGGAAGAGGAGGAGGAGGAGAGTAGAGAGAGAGAGGAAGAGGAGAGAGAGAGGGGAGGAGGAGGAGAGAGAGGAGACGAGAGAGGGAAGAGAGAGGGGGGGAAGAGGAGGAGAAGAGGGGACGAGAGAGAGGAAGAGAGAGGGGGGGGAAGAGGAACCAGTAGAGAGAGAGAGAGAGAGAGGGGGGAGGAGAACCAGTAGACGAGAGAGAGGAAGAGAGAGGGGGGGGAGGAGGAGAGGAGGGAGAAGAGAGAGAGAGAGGAAGAGAGAGAGGGGGGGGAGAGGAGAGAGGGGGGAAGAGTAGACGAGAGAGAGGAGAGGGAGAAGAGAGGGAGGAGGAGGAGGGGGAGACGAGGAGGAAGAGAGAGGGGGGAAGAGGAGGAAGAGAGAGAGGAGGGGAGAGAAGAGAGGGGGGGGAAGAGGAAGAGAGAGAGGGAGAGAGAAGAGAGAGGGGGGGGAGAGGAGGAGGAACCAGTAGACGAGAGAGAGGAAGAGAGAGGGGGGGAGAGAGAGAGAGGAGAGGGGGACGAGAGAGAGGAAGAGAGAGAGGGAGGAGGAGAGAGGAGAGGGAGGAAGAGAGAGAGAGAGAGGGAGAGAAAAGAGAGAGAGAGAGGAAGAGAGAGAGAGGAGGGGAGAGAGAGAGAGGAAGAGAGAGAGAGAGAGAGGGGGAGAGAAAGAGAGAGAGGAACCAGGCGACGAGAGAGAGGAAGAGAGAGGGGGGGAAAGAGAGAGAGAGGAAGGAGAAAGAGAGAGAGGGAGAGAGAGAGAGAGAGGGGGAGCGAAAGAGAGAGAGAGAGGGGGGGCGAAAGAGAGAGAGAGAGAGAGGGGCGAGAGAGAGAGAGAGAGGGGGGGGAAGAGAGGAGGAGAGAGGGGGGCGAAGAGAGGAGAGAGAGAGAGGGGGCGAAAGAGAGAGGAGAGAGAGAGGGGAGAAGAGGAGAGAGAGAGGGGGGAGAAGAGAGGAGGAGGGAGAGAGAGAGAGAGGAGAGAGGAGGGGGGAGAGAGGAGGAGAGGAAGAGAGAGAGAGAGAGAGAAGAGAGAGAGGGAGGAGAGAGAGAGGGGGCGAAGAGAGAGAAGAGAGAGGGGGGGGAGGAGGAGGAGGAACCAGAGAGAGAGAGAGAGAGAGGGGGAAAGAGGAGGAGAGAGAGAACCAGAGAGGGGGCGAAAGAGAGAGAGAGAGAGAGAAGGGGAGAAAGAGAGAGAGAGAGAGAGAGAGAGAGAGAGAGGAGAGAGAGAGAGAGAGGGAGAGAGAGAGAGAGAGGGAGAGAAGGGAGAGAGAGAGAGAGAGGGGAAAGAGAGAGAGAGGGAAGAGAGAGGGGGGAGAGAGAGAACCAGGGGGGGAGAAAGAGGAGAGAGAGAGAGGGGGGGCGAAAGAGAGAGAGAGAGAGAGAGGGGGGGGGAGAGAGAGAGAGAGAGGGGGCAGAAGAAGAGAGAGAGAGAGGGGGGGAAAAGAGAGAGGGGGGGCGAAAGAGAGTAGAGAGAGGGGGCGAAAGAGAGAGAGAGGGGGGGCGAAAGAGAGAGAGAGGGGGGGAGAGAGAGAGAGAGAGGGGGGGGCGAAAGAGAGAGAGAGAGGGGGAGAGCGAAAGAGAGAGAGAGGGGGGGGGGACGAAGAGAGAGAGAGGGGGGGGGGGCGAGGAGAGAGAGAGAGGGGGACGAGCGAGAGAGAGAGAGGGGGGGGGGAAAGAGAGAGAGAGGGGGGGGGCGAGGGGGAGAGAGAGGGGGGGAGAGAGAGAGAGAGGGGGGGGAAGAGGAGAGAGAGGGGGCGAAGAGGAGAGAGAGGGGGCGAAGAGAGAGAGGGAGAGAGAGGAGGGGGAAAGAGAGAGAGAGAGGGGGAGAGAGGGAGAGAGAGAGGGGGGGAGGAAAGAGAGAGAGAGAGGGGGAAGAGAGAAAGAGAGAGAGGGGGGGGAGGAAGAGAGAGAGAGGGGGGAAGAAAGAGAGAGAGGGGGGGAAAGAGGAAGAGAGAGAGAGGGGGCGAAGGGGGCGAGAGAGAGAGGGGGAGGGGAGAAAGAGAGAGAGAGGGGGCGAAGAGAGAGAGAGGGGGCGAAAGAGAGAGAGGGGGGGCGAAAGAGAGGGGGGGGGGAGGAAGGGGAGTAGAGGGGAGAGAGGAAGAGAGAGGGGGGGAGGAGGAGGAGGCGAAAGAGAGAGGGGGGAAGAGGAGAGGAGGGGGGGAAGAGGAACCAGAGACGGGAGAGGAAGAGAGAGAGGGGGGGGGAGGAGAGAGAGAGAGGGAGGAAGAGGAAGAGAGAGGGGGGAAAGGAGGAACCAGAGACGAGAGAGAGGAAAGAGGAAGAGGGGGGAGGAGGGAGGAGGAGGAACCAGGAGGAGAGAGAGGAAGAGAGGGGGGGGAGAGAGAGGAGGGGGGAGGTAGAGGAGAGAGAGGAGGGAGAGAAGATGGGGGAGGAGGAGGAGGATGGGGGGAGACGAGAGGAAGAGGGAGGGAGGGAGAGGGGGATGAGGGGAGGGACCAGAAGACGAGAGAGAGGGAGAGAAGATGGGGGGGAGGGGAGAGGAAGATGGACGGGAGAGGAGAGGAAGATGGGGGGAGGGGAGAGGAAGAGTGGGGGGAGGGAGAGGAAGATGGGGGGAGGGAGAAAAAGATAGACGGGGGAGGGGAAGGAAGAGGGGGGGGGGAGAGGAAATAGAGGGGTGAGGAGAAAGTTGAAGGGGGGGTGGGGGGGAGGATGGGATGTTACAGGAGAGGGAAGAAGAATGGGGAGGAGACAGGGGAGAATGGTGGAGACGGGAGAAATGTGGTGGGAGACTTCAGGAATAAATGGAAATAGGAGAAGAGAAGGGGAGGTTAGGGGAGAAGGGGAGGGTAGAGATATGGCGGCATCTAGTCATTAGTATATATAAGAAAAGTACAGTATGTTGAAACACTGCAAACTCTCTCAAGTATTAACATAATAGGACTCAAGACAAATATATACTTGAGCAACAAGATCATATACATACAAAAGGTATTTTGCTAGGTGCTGGAGAGGCGTCGTATATCTGGGCTACGTCTTCCTGAGGCTCCCGCTCCAGTGTCTGCAGCATTCTGAACATGTCGATTGTCAATTCACTAAATTTCACCTGAAAATTAATATACATAAAATCATTAGGTAATATTACTGCTGACTGATGAGTAATGACTATAGGAAGCATAGCATAAGTCACAAAATACTGCTGCTCTATGTGCATCTGACCTCTGCTTTAAGAACACTTAAATCATGTTTGTAATGTTGCGAGCAAGAACGTCTGTATTGACGCAGAGCAGACCTCATGTATAATGTTCGTTGTAACACAGCAAGCAGTACTTGCCGTGTGCAAGTACCGCTGCTTTATCTTTTGCAAATTATGCAAGTTATATAAATAATTAAAAGTCTCTTGATGAAATCATATGTAGTGTATTACAGTTCAGTGTACACCATAAGACTAACCTGAGTGAAACTAAAGTTAAACTTCCTAACTACCACATTACTAGGTAAACGTTTTCAAGTACAGTACATCCTTCAAATATTTCTGACCTTCATCTACCCTTCCTTCAACAGCTCATGCCTTTTCATCAAACTCTCAAGTCTGTCGGAAAATCCGACACCATTTAATAATCATACAGATAATAGCTGTGTTGTATAAACAAGTTACCCATAGAAAACGTAACTTGTAGTGGAATTACCATCTATAGAAAACGGGATATCATCACCACATACTATTATAATTCACCACCTATTATGGTGGGAATTATTCTTAAATACATTAGTCTTTGGACTTTACCATCATAAAAACATCTTATATAAATTAACTTAATTATCAATATTAAAGTAGAGTAAATGTGACCCTTCTATCACTTTCTGAAATCTGGACAAAGTAGGCCAGGCGTCAGGGAGGAAGGAGGGCAGCCATTGTTGTGTCACCTCCGAGACGTGTGGAGCAAATTTAGCTCCTATCATATCTGGACAATGTCGGCCAGTAACGTCAATAGTATGGAGTGTTAAACAGCCATTGTTGATAAGAGACCAGAGGCTCACACGGGAGCAAATTCGGCTCCTGTTAATTTTACTTGGACGTAGTGTTATGGAAACCAAAGGTACCATCTCCAACACGATGTCTACAATTCAAGTTAAGTGTTCTTTCCGAAACCCGTTTATCATTCATTTATGGCCATTAATGTCAGGATATAGGGTGACCCGGTTAGATCACGTGGAAGCCTCAAACTAAAGGTATTTAAGCCAGGTCTTCTTGTTCCATGTACAATGTTTCTCTGAAATACCTGTCATATACTAGGTTTCTGGCTTCACAGCTAGCGCCCTTTTAACAGGTCAAGACGAGGATGCAAGATTTTGTGCACCAGTTACTGGGTGATGGAAGCTACCTCAAAGAGGATAATTTGGTGTCTACACCCTAGTTATACCTGGTGGACTAGCCTGCTGTACTATAAGATAAGGAACCTCTTCAATGTATGTAGTTAATTCTGTAGTTTGATTGGCTACATATATAATAAACTAATAAACCCCCCCTAATGTGTAGAGGATCGATTTGTGAGATTAAGAGATTATTGCAGAAATACAGTCCACTTATCATTATACAAATTGCTATCGAAGTATATAAATTAACGTAAATATAAATTCATATAAATTAAATAAATATAAATCTCACAGGTCGGTTCCCACAATATTTGGTCATCTTCGAACCGGATGACGGATTATTTGATCCTTTGAACCCACATTTGGTCATCTTAGTACCGGATGAACCAGTTAACCAGTGGATTCATTAAACAACTAGTGCAGTGTGATTTAAACAAAGCCAGTCATGACGGCGGCGTTGACTGGTGGGAGTTCACGAGCCCCGCTCAGTTCAGATCAGCCTTAGTCAGCGGTTTCATGTACACCCACAGATTTGGTGGAGTGTTATTCTGTGAAATGACAGCGCCAATATAGAAGCCAGCCAAATTAGTGGCTGTGTCCTCGCGTCATTGTTCACGGATTTCGTGGTGTTACATTTCGCGAGAGATTATCTACGAATTTTGTGGAGTTTATTTCGCGAGGTCACTAATAATATTTAATACTTCTTGATAATATTAGAAGTTTCATAGAGGCTAATTAAGAGGCTATTATCAATAATTGTGTATATTATTTCTCCAAATAGAGAATTATTTAATATAAATTGCACTAGTGATCACAGTATAATATTTACTAATTGCCAACCCACAACAGGGTAGGATATGACTAGTTGAACTATTATCGTTCATCCTAGTCCCATTATTACCATAGTCAGTTATACTATATTGAATAACCTAACACCATTAATGAATGGTCCAGACCCTATTTTGGGTGTAATTTTTATCAACTCGAGTTGAGTTGTATATATAATAATTTACTTATGATCATTACACCTTTGAGTGATTAATTAGTGTCTCTTCCATCCTAGGGTGATATAGAGGAGCTAACCTAAAGGTACTTCCAGTGACACTGGTTTATCACTCAAATCATTAGTGTGTATGATTGTATATATATATATAATGTGTATTAATTTTAAGGTCTAACCTCTAGTAGAGGTAGGATTATTGCCTAGTGAGTGCAGAATTTACCCTAGGCTACCATTAGTGTTTGTTCAGTATTATGAGCGACCCAAGTACAAGTCCCACAAGGCTTTACCAACTAGCCAGTATGGATAATGCAGGGAGAATGAAAAGAACCCTTGCAGGTCTTAAAGGCCACTTAACAAGACAGATCAAGAAATGTGAAGATTTGTCACAACAATCTCAAGTTGATTATGCTGACCTGGAAAGCTATTATCAAGCAGCTGCAGGTAAATTTGAGCAAATCAAATGCCAAATGGCTGTCCTTGTGGGGACAGACTACTACCATCAATTCATTGGTAGCCCTACTAAATATCAGGGCATAACCATGTTAAACTCTGCAGGAGGTAAATTACTCTCAGGCCCAGTATCAAGCCTGGGGAGACCTATGCCAGCAGATAAACAATACCAGTAGAAATCTAAATTTGTCAGCTGATTATATTTCTCCAGTAGCATTATACTAAGGAGATTACAGCTGACTATAGCATCAGACGTTGATGTTAGTATCATCATTTGAAGCTGAAGATGAGTTCATGAGGCCTCAGTGGCAAATCAGTGAACAGTAGCCTAAAACAGCTACAAGTCACTGCGACCAATGTCACTGAACCCACTGCAGTCTCAGAACCATACTTTACTTTAATGATGAGCTATTCAATCTTCTGAATCAATTAACTAAATTAAACCCTAATAAATCTGATGACTGATTTGATACATTTATTATTTAATCAAGATGTATTCCATGGGCCTCAGTGTTTATATATCAGTGACCAGTTACCTGAAGAAACTTCAAGTTATATCTAATGTCACTGATCTCACTGCAGTCCCTGAATCATACTTGACTGTAGTACTTGATCACATTCAGTCTTCTGGGTTAAATAATATGTAATTAGGCTTGAATATTAGCCTTTCAAGAGTTGACAGGGAAATGAAATTGCATTAGACTTCTAACCCCTGCAACTCTAGTACGGGACATGCGTCCTGTACGAACAGACACACAAATGTGTGATTACTAACTACTAACATCAAATTAATCTAATAATTCGAAGGAGGAGTATCGGTGTTCGTCTGTTCTAAATTAGGACTTCGACCCGTGAGCAGCCCCTGGGGAATTATGTCGGAAAATCCGACACCATTTAATAATCATACAGATAATAGCTGTGTTGTATAAACAAGTTACCCATAGAAAACGTAACTTGTAGTGGAATTACCGTCTATAGAAAACGGGATATCATCACCACATACTATTATAATTCACCACCTATTATGGTGGGAATTATTCTTAAATACATTAGTCTTTGGACTTTACCATCATAAAAACATCTTATATAAATTAACTTAATTATCAATATTAAAGTAGAGTAAATGTGACCCTTCTATCACTTTCTGACATGTGGACAAAGTAGGCCAGGCGTCAGGGAGGAAGGAGGGCAGCCATTGTTGTGTCACCTCCGAGACGTGTGGAGCAAATTTAGCTCCTATCATATCTGGACAATGTCGGCCAGTAACGTCAATAGAATGGAGTGTTAAACAGCCATTGTTGATACGAGACCAGAGGCTCACACGGGAGCAAATTCGGCTCCTGTTAATTTTACTTGGACGTAGTGTTATGGAAACCAAAGGTACCATCTCCAACACGATGTCTACAATTCAAGTTAAGTGTTCTTTCCGAAACCCGTTTATCATTCATTTATGGCCATTAATGTCAGGATATAGGGTGACCCGGTTAGATCACGTGGAAGCCTCAAACTAAAGGTAATTAAGCCAGGTCTTTATTGTTCCATGTACAATGTTTCTCTGAAATACCTGTCATATACTAGGTTTCTGGCTTCACAGCTAGCGCACTTTTGACAGGTCAAGACGAGGAAGGAAGATTTGTGCACCAGTTACTGGGTGATATGGAAGCTACCTCAAAGAGGATAATTTGGTGTCTACACCCTAGTTATACCTGGTGGACTAACCTGCTGTACTATAAGATAAGGAACCTCTTCAATGTATGTAGTTACTGTAGTTTGATTGGCTGCATATATATTAATTTAATAAACCCCCCCTAATGTGTAGAGGATCGATTTGTGAGATTGAGATTATTGCAGAAATACAGTCCACTTATCATTATACAAATTGCTATCGAAGTATATAAATTAACGTAAATATAAATTCATATAAATTAAATAAATATAAATCTCACAGGTCGGTTCCCACAAAGTCTGCTCATTAATGAAACCTAGTATTAAACAATAAAAAACATGCAATTATCCAATATATATTACTCATTCAATGGTAAGAGCTATGCCTTTTCCAAGCATGCATTGAAAACATCTTGCATTAGCCATTTTTAATGTGGCTGTTTAAATGACTGTCAACTTCATTGGTGTTCTCAGAGCTAAAGCGTTTTCTTGTCTCTGATCTCTTGAGACTCTCATGCCTATTCATGCAGTCTTCCTAAATAAATACTTTGATAATTATTTTAATTATTCTTCTTCTTACCTGGTCATTGCAGTTCCCTACTATAAGAATTTCTTGCAAAGTGAGGTTCATCATGGGAGTCTTTTCCAGTGGTGGAGTGTTGTGGCCACTCAGTCTATAAATAAACAAACAAATTTATGAAAAAAAAGAAGCGTTGAATGTGATGAAACGCCAGTTTCTAGGGGCGAGCCCCAGAGGCTCCCTGAAGCTATCCTACAGATATAGTGCTATATTAGTTGCATAGGGAGCAATGGCCTATAAGCACTTTACATTTAAAGCACAGTACAGTATATCATATTTAGCCATCTACAGGGAAAGGCACCCAGAAAGGGAAGGGGAGGGAGAAAGGGCTAATAAATGTAGACCACTGTCAAGTTGAAAATAGTGAGCTACGTCCTCAAAATACCAAAAGCACTCCCCCAGAGAGAAAACAAGCAAGCAACAAGTCATCCGATCGAGCTCCCTCGCTCATTAGCGCTAACAGTTCCCCTGCCCGGGTTAGCGGGCCACCCACCACTCCAGTCCTTGAATGAGGAAAGGCGCTGGCCAACGGAAGGGAGGACGTCAGAAAGCCTCTGGGGCTCACCTAGAAACTGGCGTTTCATTACATTCAATGCTGGTTTTCTGTGGGAAGCCCCGTTGGCTCCCTGAAGCCAACTACCCATAGAAATGGCAAACAAAGACTTACCAGGAAGGCGGCACTACCACAGGTCTCAAAGCAAGCACGAGACAGACGGCCGTGACAGGCTTCCCAAGGCCCCACAAGGCCACAAAGAAACTGGGGTGGTCACGAGTTACCTGGTGGCCAGGACTATGTTTGACCTTCAAAAACCCTGTGCCCAAATATCTTCCAGAGACATGGTACCAAAAAACCCGAAAGAGCGGCATACTTTCACACATCATGGGCACAAGGGTAGACTGCAGGGCTGGCTTGCTTGATACCTGCTTGATGGGGTTCTGGGAGTTCTTCTACTCCCCAAGCCCGGCCCAAGGCCAGGCTTGACTTGTGAGAGTTTGGTCCACCAGGCTGTTGCTTGGAGCGGCCCGCAGGCCCAAATACCCACCACAGCCCGGTTGGTCCAGAACGTCTTTTAGAAAACAGTCTACTTTTCTCTTGAAGATGTCCACGGTTGTTCCGGCAATATTTCTTATAGCCGCTGGGAGGACATTGAACAGCCGCGGACCTTTGATGTTTATAGTGTTCTCTGATTGTGCCTTTGGCACCTCTGCTCTTCACTAGTTCTATTCTGCATTTTCTTCCATATCGCTCACTCCAGTACGTTGTTATTTTACTGTGTAGATTAGGGACCTGGCTAGACTTAACACTGCGGACAACCTGAGAAATAGGAGCCCTTGAACAAGAAACCAGAAAAACCGGATCAACCCAAAGCGCATCCACCAACACAAAACCGGTAGCTAGTTATTGGATACAGAACGTGGTACACCCACATTTGGTATTTATACCAAAACAGAGATGCAGAACTAGGAAACAGGATTGGTTCAATAGAAATTGCGAGAGGGCCAGAGACCTAAAGACACAAAAATATAATCAATACAGGAAGAGGCCAAACCCCCAAACATATCAGCGATACAAAGATACGAGAAACAACTACACAGCCAACCCGTTCTCGCAAATTTAATAAGTCAATATTGACTTATTAAATATGTGCATAGGTGACATACTTAACATAATAGATACCCTTAAAAAGATTCATAGAAAACACCGACCTTACCTAACCTTGTTAGTATCTTAAGATAAGCATCTTATTGCTTCGTAATTACAATTATTACCTAACCTATTATAGGTATAGGTTAAGTAATAATTGTAATTACGAAGCAATAAGATGCTTATCTTAAGATACTAACAAGGTTAGGTAAGGTCGGTGTTTTCTATGAATCTTTTTAGGGGTATCTATTATGTTTAGTATATCACCTATGCACGTAGTTAATAAGTCAATATTGACTTTACGAATTTGCGAGAACGGGTTCCACGGCAGTGAGGAGAGGGGCAGAAAGAAATTTTGAAAAAGGGATTGCAGACAAATGTAAAACAGGACCAGGTCTATTCTATAAATTCATAAACAACAAATTGCAGGTAAAGGATAATATTCAAAGGTTGAAAATGGGAAATAGATTCACGGAAAATGAAAAAAAACCAGCGTTGAATGTAATGAAACGCCATTTTCTGGGTGAGACCCAGAGGCTCCCCGGAGCTTTACCGGCTGATATGCTAATGTCTGACTTTGGCATCAGTCATGTGTATGGAGTTCTAGGGCCTACCGGGGACCACGGCCAGAACCTGGCCCCCTCAGAGAGGTAAGGGGAGCAATGGCCTATAGAAACCCCCGTGTGGTTGGAAGCATTCTATGTCTGCCATCGACCGGGTCAAGCATCCAGAAAGGTAAGCATTCCAAAACAAACCCCTATTCTGGTGAAAATTGCTACCTAAAGCCGAACTAGTGGATAGAACTCTTCAACAGAAAACAAGGAAACTAGTATGATGTCATACGTCACCGCGCTGCTGTCTGCGCAGCTCCCCCCTCCCCGGGAGGGGAAAGGGGGAGCCCCAGACCTCCCACGCCAGCTATCCACCCATCAGTTCTGAGGCTGGATGTCAAAACACGCGAAAAACGGCGACCGGAGAGAGGGAGGGTTGCCGGGGAGCCTCCGGGTCTCACCCAGAAAATGGCGTTTCATTACATTCAACGCTGGTTTTCTGGGGGGAGCCCAGTCGGCTCCCCGGAGCTAACTACCCACAGAGGAAGGTCAAAGGGATAGAACCGGGAGGCGGACACCACGCACCCCCCAAGGAGGCGAGACAACCGGCAGCAAACGCCAACCCAAGGCGCCACAGCCCCGAAAAATCCCGGGAACAACATGAGAATCACGAGCAGCAAGGCCCCTGCACGAACACCAAAAATCCATGCCCGAAAGACCGCAGGGCCACGTCGCCCAGACAGCAGCGAGAGCAGCGAAGCCACGAATGCCACAGGCATGAGGGAAGAACACAGGCAGCTTAGCCGCAAGAACACGGCTGACCACCCGGGACACCATCACCCGCGAACCGGGAAGAACAGAACCGGATCAACGCAAAACGCGCTCCGGACCCAAACGCCGTGGCACACAAACAACAGCGGAGGGCCGCCACTGAACACAAAAACGACACACCCCCGGCCCGACCAACGAAGCACCAATAAACCCTGGACCCCTCCAGAATGCAGCAGCCCCACCCCACGCCAGAAAAGATGGAGACTGCTGCCATCAAACAACCTAAACACTAAAACCGAAGGAGCAAGAAAACTCGGCGACTCGACCCCCAGAGGCAAAGGCTCAAAGGAAAGAGCCGACGAAAAAACACACCGGAACCGAAGGGGCACTACCAACTGAGGAGAAGACAGAGCACGCTGACCAGAGACCAGGATGGTGCAAGCAGCGCACGAACAGGCCGGAGGTGAAACGACGCACAAGACAGCTGACTAACGGTGCAGAAGCAACACCAAGACCGAAAGCAAGCTGAAGCGGCTCCGCCCGCGCAGCACGAAAAGAGGCGACAGTATGTAGGCAAGACGACGGCCCCCAACCCCCACTAGAAAACCAAGCCGAGAGTAAACCAAGCTAACAAGAGTAACCACCTAAGAAGGGACAGGAAAAGGAAGGACTGCCAAAATACCCCATACTGCCGCCAAGAGAAGCACTCAGCTGGGACACCTATCACGAAGCTACCCGACCACCAACCGGAGGCGAGACCGCGAGGCAGAACATAAGCAGCCCCGACAAGGCCCCTCCGAGCCCAGGAAAAGGCGGAGCTGCGGGAAGATCTCGGGCGCGACCACCGAAACCCAGGCGGCACAAGGAGATGGAACGTCTGCCGAACAGAAAAACTCCCCAAAGCATGCAAGCCCGCCAGGAGTTCAGAAACGACGGGTTTGACGCGAAACATTGCAAGGCCCCCCAAAAAAACAACCGGCAGGGCAAGCTAGGAAACCAAAGAAGGCGGAAGGGTCGCCGCCAGAACAGTACCCGAACCAAGGGGTACGAACAACTGCAATAGACCGAGACAAAGAAGCACATCACAGGACACAGGCTGACCAACGCCTAAGAACACACGCAGAACATCCCTGCCGCAGAGGAGGCAGGAAGAAAGAGCAGAAGCACAAAAACCCCAGGAGAACAACCAAGGGTGGACAATCAGGCAGGGACAGAAAAACCCCCACGCAATCCCCAGGCACAAAACGGCAGCAAAGTGCCACTCCACAACCGGACACAGGAACAAGGACACGCCACCATGAAACATGGTACCAATGCACACGTGCAGCAGCAGCAACAGGCACCACTGCAACATGCAACATGTAAATAGCAACTCCCTTCTGCAAAGGCAGAGAACGGAGCAGGCAGACCCCAGACAGGGCCAACGGAGACACGACAAAACCCAGCAGGCCCAGAAACCTGCACCAGGCGACCGACGGCGGAGAAACCCCGCTCAATACCTGCTGGATGAGGTACTGGGAGCTCTTTTACACCTGAAGCCCGGCCCAAGGCCAGGCTAGACCGGCCAGAGGGTGGCCCACCAGGCAGCTGCTAGGAGCAGTCCACCGGCCCACATACCCCCACAACCAGGACGGGTCGGAACTGCCATACGAAAACAGGCTAGTGCGCCCTGGAAGTCCACGGACGAACCAGCAAGAAGGCTTATGCTCGCAAGTAGGTTGTGGAACAAGCACAGACCTCTGATGGTAATACAGTATTCCCCAAATGTGCCAATAGCACCACTGCACTCCACTGGTACTATCCTGCAAGTTCTACCAGATAGGCGGGACCCAAGAGCCAGAGCTCAAATCCTGCAAGCACAGCCAGGAGCCTAACCAGGTGAGTACAGAACCAACCCTACAACCCCCACACCTCACAACATTAAAAAAGGAGGGTCCCCTGAATGACTCCAGCATGGGTTGGACATGCACATGAGGGGGACAGGAAGGGTTGAAAAAGGGACAGTCACTGGTGTGCGAACGGTCTCAGTCGTACAAAAATATACCAAATAAAGACAGGTATATAAACAACACCGCATCCAGCGCCCGGCCAAAAGACGCCAGACCGCAGAAACTCACCTGGCGAATG